ATGGAAAGTCGAATCAAAGTAACTGACTTGCTATTTCTTTCAAACCCTGTTTTCTCATATATAGAATCGGTGTAGAGGGTTATATGCTTTCACTGGAGTTAGTGTGTCTCTATGGGCAATGCCACTTAGTCAACTAATAAAAGCTGTCTGAAATTGCTATGATTTCGAGGCATCATCAATAGCTATGATGAATAAAATTAGTCGGTTAAGCCTGGCCTGAAAAATGCATGTGAATGAAGGCGAGTAAAAATAAGAGTAGAATAAATGAAAAATAAAACTGACAATAAAGAGAGACTCACTCCATTCTCTAGAGTCGCCATGCCATCAAACAGCTTAGTAAGGGAAATTACTAAATTAATCTCACTCATTGGCAAGCAAGTAGTGCAAAAGGACTTGATAAAGGTAAGGATCTTTTCGGTGTACTTATTAAATAGACGTCTAGCTTCTTCCGCCAGAACGCGGTCCTTTTTGCTGGATAACCAGGATTCGACAAAAGGCCACCAGCCAAGGACATTAACATCATTGTAGACCATGCCGCAGCGTGAAACAGTGGCCGGGGATGCCACAGACAAATCTCCAACTTCGAAGAGCAAAAACACCTAAAATTTTATTGATATATGGGTAAGGTGTTAGGTGAAAGAGAAAAGTATTCATATGTATAAAACAGGCTTAGTTATGATACAAAAGAAGTGCGGACAAAATAAACCTAAAATAGAAAGAATACAAAATGAGAGATATGAAGAAAAGTTGAGTTTATATTGAGGTTGCTTGATCTTGTTTTCGCAACTTGGTCATATTGGTAGAAAGACCTACAGGAACGCACCTAGTCCATTGTATGCATTATAATATCTAAAGTCGCACCGTGGACGTGGTACATTCCCAGACGTTTCGCCAGCATCGTCAGTGAGTCTTGCCACTCTTAGTACCATACTACAACTTGTCAACGGGAAACGGAGCTTAGGAGCTCTGCTCGGTGAGGCCACAATATGTGGACTGCCAAACACTAGTGGCATACCACGAGAAATAGTGCTTTGCTTATAGCGTATAATGTGAATGGGACCAATTAAAAGCAGTTAACCAGTAAGATAAGAAACTGATCTCCGGGGTCATATTGAAGATTCGGATAAGAGTCCAAAGTCGGGTCAGGAATTTAGGCAAATACAAAAGTAAAGAGGGACAAGGTAAACAAAAAAGTGTGATAACGCTCCACTAAACTAGCCAAAAATGGCACACGCCTAGAGTAGTGAAACATAAAAAAGTTATAAGTTGTGAGTAAGTGTGACACGAAAACAGTATATAAGCAGATATAACGGGGGAGGAGGAGTATTTACATAACCTTAACACAGAAATTTGGTCAAGGGATGGACTACACTTGAGTTCGACGTATTTTCGCTTAGTACTAAAAATGGCAAGATTCAATGACGATGTCTATGAAACGTCTGAAAATGTACCAAATCCACGGTCAGCCGCAGGAAAGAATCATAACTATTATAACGGAAAACTTAGTACAAGGTGTGTTCGTCTAGGTCGCTCTGACAGCACGATCAATTTGCGGAACATGACCAATACATTGCTATGCAGCAAAAGGAGGCTGCGACCAAAACTGAGGCTACAATATTTTGGACTTCGTATCTACGATTATTAAATGTATTTACTTTTATGTCAAGTAAAATAGTAAAAATATTGTGAAATTAGCATCTTCAATGCGCCACTTCCTTCAACTCCTTCTAATCGTAGTAAGAATCTATGCTAATTTATTAAGCGAAACTAAAGTAGAAAAGTTACTTTTTGCATGAGCTTTACCATACCCAAGTTTCTACAGGTTCGCTAAAGACAGTCTTACAACCGTATAAGTTCAAAGCGTCGTTTGTATCCAAATAGTATTTTTGATAATGGAAATGCAAGAATCACTCGCATGAAAATACAAAGCACTACACTAATTATAGTATAATTGAAGAAATGTAAGGTATCACCTTTAAATAAATCCTTAATTTCCAGGCTAGGTAAAATAAGTAACTTGGCCTTGATGTCAGGGAGAATTAGAAGGACTCAATTTGTCCAAAGTCTTCTACCATAGTAGGTAACATATTTCCCAGCAGTAGACCGTGGACTTGTTTTCATTCTCAAACGTTTCGAAGGCATCGTAGTCGGCATCCTGAATGAGTATTGCCATTCTTAGCGACAAACTAAAACTCGTCAAAGAGATAAGTGAAGTCAATACATTGACCAAATTTCTTGCGGAAAAGTTGAGCTATCACCCCTCTTTCTGTCCTGACACATCTATCTACTTCTTTCCCTCTTACTTCAGTCCCGCCCTATCACAACTTCTGGCTTGTTACATTCAATTCGTCAAAAAGTGTCATTTTGGCAAGGTTAGTATGGCATAATCACCCAAACTGTTCATCTTGCCCGCTCTTCTTCAATAGTCTAATCCGACTTAGGCCTTCATTCTTGTTTTTCCCGAGTCTGCTTAGGCAGTAGGCAAAGTTATCGCCTATTCTGCCCTCCTCCAATCTCCTGCTCATTAGATATTTTCCCCATTTATGTCACTTGCGTTAATAATATTCTGTTTCCTTGTGTTTTCACCGCATGAGGGCCTCTTTCAAATGACTTGGAATTGATCTCGTATCCAGTCTTTGCGATGTGCTTCGATAATTCCGATATTTCGGTATCCATTTTCCTGCAGAGATTTTGATGTTCCTTGATTCGTATGCTGACTTTTATCCATGTTTTGCCAATCTATTTCTCTTTACAGGGGCCGCATGCTATTCAGTCAACTCCCGAACAACCCAATTAGTCGACCTTTTTATGCTGCTTGGGTAGACATGTAAAGACTCTGGTTTTTTCCCTCATGATCACCTTAATATTTCATTTCCTTAATATT